TCTTTCTGCAACTGTTTTACAGTACTTCAAATGAGCCATATTGCTCAAAGGGGCACAATTGTTCCGTCTCATTTTGTTTTTGCACTCAGGAAAATGCTGCTGTGTTCTGGCACCAAATAAATAGTTTTACATAATTACTCAACTGTGACTTTATTGGTTTCTATCTAAATTGAAGACGAATGTCCTCATATGTGGACATCATTTTTCTCAGAAACTACATCATGTAAAAACATAATTCTTTGTTGTTACACTCATCAGGTCCCAATCAGCCTAAATAGCAAAGAGAAATTAAAAATGCACGCCATGCAAGAGTTCGGGTCTTAGGAGGTTAAACAATTGGGATTAAATTGTAATGACCTCTTAATGAGATTTAGTCTAATTAAGTTTCTTTTAGTTCTTTGCCAAGCTTATCCCATCATCTCTTGTGTGTGTGTGTTTGCGCGCGTGTGTGTGTGTGTGTGTGTGTGTGTGTGTGTGTGTGTGTGTGTGTGTGTGTGTGTGTGTGTGTGTGTGTGTGTGTGTGTGTGTGTGTGTGTGGTGATTACCTGTACCTGGGTTTAATACACATGTGTAAAATGTCAGTTAAAGACGTTATTTGCTTGCCTTATCTAGTCACCTGGTACTCACCCACTTTATTTTTTGCATAACTGTTTTTAAACCACTCATAACAGACAGAGAATAACTGACAGTTATTTTGCAAACATTCAGCAACTAACTATTTTCATTGCATCATCATCAACACAGTAACATACAACATGTGGAGGTAGAATATGCTGCTGTACTAAAAGATTAAACATTTTTTGGTTGACTGGATGAACCTGATATCTCACAATGAAAAAAGTTCAAAGGGCAACACACACCAGCATCTTGATGTCGGGATGCGACACTGTTCTATTTCCCAGCACCAAAAAAGCAGCAGTTTACTGATGACAAATCCAGGATAAAGAGGATGCAGTTATCTCAAACCTCTGAACACTAACAATTAAATATTTCAGTGTGTAATTGCTCCACATACAGATGGTACCCGCACTGCTCAAAACTGTACTGTGACCTGCGAGATGCACACAAGAGTCTCACAGACAAGACATCTGCCTGCAAGTCTAGTCAGTGCGATGCATTAAAGAAATGCCTGATGCTATTATTTCCTGTGATGCACTGCGATCTGGGAACAGGATCAAAAATTACAGCAGAAAAAACACCAGCCACTCCTGTGTAGCTGTGATTCAACCACAGACTTGTTGTATTTCATATTGTGCAGGAATTCAGTTGTAATGAATCCCATTGATCAAAAATTATCATCCCATCATGCTCTTCACATCACTGTACTGTACATCATCATCATTAGTCTGCCTGGTTTTATTTCCTTTTCGGTTGGAATCATAGATGTGTATTGTAGTTTTTGATGGGGATGGTAATGATTTTGAACTTTGGGTTTTTGGTTCCTTTAACCTTTCCTTTTAATGTCATTGTGTTTCTGTTGTCACTGTGTCTCCATATGTTGTCCATGTATGTTTGGTTCTGTCCTCATCATGACAACCCTTCCCTGCCAGCAGAAGGTAAACAGAGGCGTTCTTACAACGCTGGGCTGCCTGTAGCTCTTCTTTTAGCTCCTTTTTTTATCTTTTATCTTTCCTCCTTCTCCGTCTCTCTCTCCGGCACTGACTTAACAGCACTGAGGAGATTGAAGTTCTGTGTGTGCGTGTGTGTGTGCCTTTTGTTTGCTGCATGGGGAGCACTAAAGGCACTCTGAGAAAAGGGGACTGGACATAAAAACAAGGGTCAAAGGAAGGAGGGTATTATGTTTTCAGAGTGATGCTGAGAGCGAGCAGCACGTAAAGCCTTTGTGGCTCTGGCTGTCCTGCTTAATGAAGGTGGCGAGAGAAGCAGCATGGCGACACTCTGAGCACAGCAGGAGGACATGAAGCTGCACAGATAACACAGCATCCTCCTCATATAACCCCAGTGTTATATGGAACATGACTGATGTGTGCGTGTGCTTTACTAAAGGGCATACATTGTACATGATACTACTTATGTCATAACATTGTGGCAAAATAATATCCTGCAGACATATATGTCACCAGCATACTGCCATATATGACAAAATATAACCTTTTTGTCATGTTTATTGGCTTTTTATAACATTGTAACAACTGTCTGACTGTGAATGAGTTTAACAAACGCTAATCAACAAATCAAATGACATCTACTCACTCATCTACTTCACCTTTCAAACAGCTTTTCAGCTGTGAAAATGCTGAGTTTAATTAACTCTCATGTCAAACTGTCTTTACACTTGATTACTTGACTTGTATGTTAAGGTTTATAAATTTAAAAAATATCAATATGCTCAAAATATATCTGTCATCCTGCTTTGCCTTTGCCTATATGCACTACGCAGTAAGTAAGAAAACCAGAACGCATGGCTATAGGAAGAGACTGTTAGAAAGTGCAGTTTTACTCATGTATGATATACAGTAGTTGCACTGAAGCTTTGACTCTTTATCAAGAGTGATAAAAATGCTTTGTCATTAATTTATTTCTCAGCATATAAGTATTGCCTGCAGTGTCTGATGCTACCCTCAGCTATTCTGGTGCTGACTGTATTTGGTGCTGTTCCCAGTTTGACCTGCTAGTGGAGCTGTTCCACGATGAGGAGAAAGCCACCACTCCCACTGGTCAGGTCCCAGGGACTGGGGGCCGGACCCGCCTCAGCATCAAACCTGACAAGAGCCGAGAAAAAAGCAGCAAGGACCACAAGAAGACAGTCGGCTGCCAGGTTGATCATCTCTCCAGTGTTTAGTTATTTAGACTGATGCTGTTTTATGAATTTCATTTGGTTAATGTCAAGATGTAAGAAAAACCCTATTTAAAAAACCCTAGTACACTCTTCATCTATTAGCATTACATTGTTTTAATACTGATTATAATGCTATGAACAGCAGTTTGTGACATGAATGCCAATTATCCAGAGTTGATTTTTAAACATTCATTCAGCTTAATAGTACAAAAGTGATGGTGGTGATGATGATGATGATGATGATGATGACGGTCCTCTCTTGTAGTTTCGTAACTCTCTGCAAATGCTGATGGACACTTTGAATGCAACCACTCCACATTACGTCCGCTGCATCAAACCCAATGACTTTAAGATGGCCTTCTCGTGAGTCTCCTCTCTGTTTTATGTCTTCTTCTCTTTTTGAATTTAAGAAACTGAAGACAGTAAATCATTTTGGTATTAGTTTAGCAATTATTCTGTGGCAGCAAAGTGATTCATTTTCTCTTTCGCCCACTTCAGACTTCTTCATATTCTCAATTTAGATTTTAGATATTAGTAACACTGCACTCATTTATTTAAATTGCTTTCATGACAACTTGCTCAGTTTTCCTAAAACATTGCTGCCCTCATTGAATCAAGCACTGTGCTCAGGCTTAGTCACCATCTTAGCTCAGGTGTAATTCATGGTGGCCATACTGACTGTGGTTATATGTTGTCGGCAGGTTTGATCCTAAACGTGCAGTGCAGCAGCTCAGAGCCTGTGGTGTCCTGGAGACCATCCGCATCTCTGCTGCAGGTTTCCCATCCAGGTACTGATGCATCCCAGCAACACTCCTAATGACTCTGATATGTTTACGATGTGTTGTGCACACTTCTGATTTGGTGTCTTTATTATCTGTCATCACTCTCTCTCTGTAGAGGAAACTGTTTTGTCTGAACCCCAGAACTGGACTTTTGTCTGGCTTTGCTTATTAGTCACCTTAATATCTTTTAGATCAATATCAATTCTGAAAACCTTAGAAATTAGTGAGTGTTTGTTCCCATTACTTGTTCCCACAAGAATGTTTGGAATATCATGTATAGAAGTATTAAGTCAGGGTTTCTATGTCAGTCACCTTACAGGATAATATCAGTATGTATTTTGCAACTTAACATGCAAAATTGCACTGAATTAAATGGTAGTTCTTCAGAGACGAAGTCAAACAGCAAAGCTAGCTGTTTCCCTCTTTATACATTTACTTTTGTGATAAATTGTTAAACTCTACAAAAAGAAAGGAGTTAAATGTTTGGGTTGTAGTGGTTTTCTAAATGCGTCTGTGTGTGTCACAGATGGACGTACCAGGAGTTCTTCAGTCGTTACAGAGTGCTGATGAAGCAGAAGGACGTGCTTCCTGACAAAAAGTTGACCTGCAAAAACGTTCTGGAGAAACTGGTGCAGGTCAGAAAATTAAGAGATATATATTATTATTTGTGCATTTTCTTTGTGACTGCACAGTACATCTGTCTCTTTTCGTCCATCTAATCGATGTCTTACCCCTAATTTTGCTCCTGTCTTTCCTCAGGACCAAGATAAATACCAGTTTGGTAAGACCAAGATCTTCTTCAGGGCCGGTCAGGTTGCCTATCTGGAGAAGTTAAGGGCAGACAAGTTGCGTGCTGCATGTATCCGCATCCAGAAAACCATCCGCTGCTGGCTGGCACGGAAGAAGTATCTGCGAAAGCGCAGCGCTGCCATCACCATCCAGAGGTTCACCAGAGGATACCAGGCTCGCTGGTGAGTCAACTGCTTCCTTCAGCCATTCACATACAGAACAATTACATGCAAAAACATCTGCCTCTCCTATGACCGCTATGTTTGACTCATAAGAAAGTGCAGGGTAAAACAATTCATTCTGAGTACCATTGCAGTCAAATAAGTTGAAGTTGAAAGGTTCAAGGTTCACAGTAATATTTATATTATAAATATGTGTTGATTGAGATGCTTATATCTCGGCTCTCCTCAGCCTGGCCAAGTTCCTGCGTCGCACTCAGGCCGCCACCATCATCCAGAAGTACCAGAGGATGTACGTGGAGAAGAAACGCTACAGGCAGAAGCAGGCTGCTGCACTGGCCATGCAGACGATCCTCAGAGCTTATATGGCCCGGCAGAAGTACCAGGCGGTAAGACACACAGATAATATTGTAAAATCTCAAAATAGCCCCAGAGAATCTGCTTTAGATCCCCAGTAATACATGAGCTCTGATTTCCCTCTGCCTTTCCTTGACTGTTTCTGTGCCTCTCTGTAGCTGCTGCGGGAGCACAAGGCGGTGATCATTCAGAAACGCGTTCGTGGCTGGTTGGCTCGGTGCTGGTACAAGCGCTGCCTCGTCTCCATCGTCTACCTGCAGTGCTGTATCCGCAGGATGAAGGCGAGGCGCGAGTTGAAGAAGCTGAAGATCGAGGCTCGCTCAGTGGAGCACTTCAAGAAGCTCAACAAAGGCATGGAGAACAAGATCATGCAACTGCAGAGGAAGATCGACGAGCAGGTGAGATGTTGACTTTTTCTCCCCCGTTTTTGTTTTTATACATAAGAATATATTCATTCACATATCCTTTTATTTCTCATTATTTATGATTCTTTTGGGGTGTTTTACTGTTCTGTTTTACCATTTATCCAGAGCAAGGAAAACCGGTCAATCAACGAGAGGCTCGTTGGCCTGGAGAATACCTACTCAGCAGAGAGCGAACGAATGCGCAGCGAGCTGAGCCGACTGCGTGGGGTGGAGGAGGAGGCCAAGAACAAAACCAACCAGGTGACGTCGTTGCTGGAGGAACTGGAGCGGCTGAGGAAGGAGCTGAGTGCCACGCAGCAGGAGAAGAAGACCATCGAGGACTGGGCGCAGAAATACAGGGACGAAATGGAGAAAGTAAGGAAGGATCCACATCATTACTGTTACCTGTTGTTTTCCTGCTCTATTTCCTCCTAGTCTGAGATCAAGTAAAGTAGCTTTACTTGTATATCTCACCTTTTCCTAGGTTAACAGGTTTTGAATATCAAGAATTCACTTTTTGATATGGCCCAACTGAAAACAAGTGGATTCTTCTCTCTACTCTCATTAAACAACCCGTCCTCTCTCCTCTCTCCTAGTTTTCCAGGTTTAGTAAGACTGTGACTGTGAAATAAAAAAGGTCATAGAAAGGGCTCCTAATAATTAGAATCTCCCATAGTTCCCTAGAAGTACACAGCATATTACTGAATACTATATTTGCATAAATATGGATATTGGCATCAGAGGAAAACAGTTTTCCCCCAATTTAGGAGACACAGCGAACCAAGGGGAAAAGGTCACGTGGTGGGCTCAGGGGGCAGAGTTGCCCCGGGTCAGGTGAGCACAGGAGATAGAGTAGCGTTCTAGTGAGGTAGCCACTGAACTGTGTGTGTGTGTGTGTGTGTGTGTGTGTGTGTGTGTGTGTGTGTGAGTGTGTGCGTGCGTGCGCGCACGTGCGTGAGTGAGTAAGTGCGATTTAAGTTGTGCACTTTGTTTTTATTATATTTTGATCTTGATCTGTAAACTCAAGAACAAAGTTCTTACCCAGAAATTTCATGACCTGTGATTAATTAAAATTCACTAATTTATGGAACTACAAAAGGAACTTCTCCTTTAAATCCATCAGTCAATCTTTGTTTGTGTTTATTTCATTAATCATTATTTTCTCTTGTGTCGCTCAACATGGAGGTCAAAGTTTAAAACTACACTGCTGCAGCTGATTGGGATTCAGATCTGCAGGAACATAACTCTTTGTATTTTACTTCAAATATCCCAGGAGGTTTTTCAGAATGAGGAGTACTTGTTTTGAGCATCTTTTGAGACTTAGGAGTTACAGTAATGTATTGAATGAAAGATGTGGATCAGTCACATTTACAGTAGGACTGATCATTTCACATTCAACGTGCAGTCAGTTTTACACCAGCTTTTCACAAGATGTTACTGAAGGGTCATTTCTGTGTGTGGTTAGATGGTCTCGGAGCTGAAGGACCAGAATGGCTTGCTGAAGAAAGAGAAGGACGACTTGAACAGGTTGATTCAGGAACAGAGTCAGCAGATGACAGGTATGCGAACATCACCACATAAATCATACTAACTTACTGCAACACATCCGTCTTCATCGTGTAGAAACATATAGCTGTCTCCTAAACCACACAATATGTTTCTTTTTTTTTTTAACTACGTATTGTTTTGTCTCATCAGAGAAAATGGCGCGGGTGATAGCAGAGGAAACTCAGCAGCTGGAGACAGATCTGAACGAGGAGCGGTCTCGCTACCAGAATCTCCTGACAGAACACCTTCGCCTCGAGGAGAAATACGACGACCTGAAGGAGGAGATGGCTCTTTCCTCGGTGAGAAACACTTACACACACCACTAGTCATTATTTATGAGAGGTTTACCTTATGTGTGTGCACAATCATACAGCTTTCTTCTACTCTACCTGCTAAAGTAGACAAAACACTAAGACAGCACATGAACTGAATGCATGGGTGTCACCCATTATGCAGCAGGGAGAACTTTATTGTTTTCTAGTTTAAATTGTTGATTTTCTCTCCAATCCAAAGAATGTCTCCAAGCCTGGTCACAGGAGAACAGATTCCACTCACAGCAGCAACGAGTCAGAGTACACCTACAACTCAGAGTACGCCGAATTGGAAGAAGGTTCCCGTACCACCGAAGTAAGCATGTTGGCATTAAATATTATCACATTTAATAAGAGGAAATGTCCAGACATGGTTTCTACTCTGAAATGTGTTCATCACAGTTTGAGTTATGGATCGAGAACTTTGATGTTTAAATACTTTCTACTGGGCAAATACTCTCCTAACATTTCACTGTCATGCAGGATGTGACACGAGGAATCGACACCTCTCTGACCCTCAAGCTGCAGAAACGTCTCACAGAACTGGAGCAAGAAAAGCAGTCACTGCGCAACGAACTGGAAAACAAAGAGGAGCAGTTCCAGCGGGCTAGAGCCAGGGTACTGACATGGTCCTTCTGACATGTATCACTTTATTAATAAATTTCATAACACTTAATGTTATAGGCCTCATAGCAGTGTTTTAACCGATGGGAAAGTGTTGTAAACATACAGACTCCTTTCATATAATTGTAATTGTAAAGAGGCTTCTCATAATTATGAACACAATCCAAGTGTGTCATTAGTTTTTAGATAGATAGATAGATAGATAGATAGATAGATAGATAGATAGATAGATAGATAGATAGATAGATAGATAGATAGATATAGACATTGGAAGAAAGGTTTGCTGAACCTTTTTTCCTATAAGGCTGACCTGATTCCGGTCCAACAGGTTTCCTCATCACCATTTTTTGCTCCTTGTTTCAGGATGATGCAGAGTTTAAAAAGGCTCGTGGGGCAGAGCTGGAGTATGAGTCGCTCAAGGTAAGTAGTCATATTAGGGTGAAGTACAAAAAATGCATAAACACATCCTTCAACTGAAATCCATTGATTTCTGAGAAATGCTTAATCCAAAGCCAGGTAACTTCAAAATGCCTAATTTTTCACTTGTTACTTTGACCGTAACGCCGAGTCGTTTCACTTCGCAGCGTCAGGAGCTGGAGTCAGAGAACAAGAAGCTTAGACATGACTTGGCAGAGATGAGGCAAAGCCTGCTGGGTGACGCAGCTACAGGCGCCGGTGCCCCAGGCTCCCCTGCTTACAAGGTGCTGCTGGATCAGCTCAATGCCTCCTGTGAGGAGCTGGAGGTTCGCAAGGAGGAGGTGCTGATCCTGCGCTCCCAGCTGGTGAGCCAGAAGGAAGCCATGCACCACAAGGTAAAGACAGTATCTTATCATTTGTTAGTATTCAGGCTGTAAACGTCGACATATAACTAAACATTTAGGCTCTTTTTGTCAAATGGTGCCATTATTTTTTTTACACGGGGTCTTAACTGTGGAGCTACAGTAGATGTCGGTGGATGGTGTGCTGCTTGCTTGAATCCACCTTCTTACATTTATGTGTTTCCACCCCAGTCTGTTTCTCTGTTTGTCTGTATCCCACAAGAGTAACAAAAGAATTTGGCTGAGATCTCTCACGGACTAAAGATCAGTTTAAATATATTTTGACAAAAAATTGATATTTGATAAATAGCTCTTATGCTGTGTTCATGTAGTCCAATCCTAATTAAAAAAACATTTTTTGACTGACATTTGAACCAGAGTGAGCACTCTTTGGTTAGATTTTGGGGCAAATTCACATTTAAATTGTCCACACTGTATGTTGCAAATATTTTCACTGTACCCTCAGTGTGTCTAACTCTCCTGTCTCCACCTTCTCTCCTTCATCCATGCTTTCCCACAGGATGAGAAGGTACAGTTGAAAAACTGCATCATGCATGAAAATCTGACACTTTCATGGTGTGTCGTGTCTATAAAACCTCCTCAGTGAAGAAAGCTGATCCAGCAGAATCAGTTTGATTTGCAAACTACAGAGTAAAAGATCCATGTCCAGTTTGCTCTTGGTTCTTTCAGAAACAAGTGTAACACCTAGCACCTAGCAAAATTAAAACAGACCCCTTAAATACATAAGACCTAAAAAAAAAAAAAACAGCTATGGATGAAGTGTCTTGTATTGTTTTAGTGGTGGATATTTCTTACTTTTCATCAGCCTCAACTTAAACATACTAAAGCTGCTGGTGGTTGCAAAAGTACAACATCAACTGCAAATTTCAGGTTTTAGTGTCAGTATCCTAAAATGAAAAAAACATTTTTTTACTTTCTACAAGACTTAAAGAGGCGCTACTTTTCTGTATAATGAAAAACTTCTCCCTCGGTCACCACGTGATCTTGTTCCCCTGAATGAAAGATTCCTGTTCTCAGGGAGCTGTGGGAAATCACACACTCAATTTGATGAGTGAAGTAAAGAGAGCACGTTAAGAGAAAGTGGTTACAACAAAGAATTTAATCTGAACACATAGTACATAGTAATACTTAGAACCCCACATTGAAATCATGGAATTTATCATCAATAATTTACACTGGAACCAGAACAAAACAGGGAACTGAATAATGGTTAGGAACAAAATACACTGTTAAGCCTGGTGATGACACAAAAACCACAGTAAAATCAGTTGCTGTGACACAAGATCAGCAGTTCTTACTGTAAGAGGCTTTACACGCAGACTCTGTCCTCTCCTCTGGCTGCAGTCTGACTATCTCATCTGTCTCGTCCTTTGTCTGGCTGAATGGGTTCATGGATTATTTGTAACGTCTCTGAGAGTTCTGCTCTGTGGTCATTTTACAGAAGCCATTTAGCATCCATCCTTGTAAACGCAGTCTGTAGTACATTCAGTACGCTGGCCCCCAAGCTCTCGACAAGTTAAATTTCAAATTGCGGCCTGTGGATGATGTGAATTTCTGTCTACATCTCATCATGTGCAGAAATTAATTCTTGTCTTAATATGAGACTGTCACACAGCTGTCAAATGTACCCTGCTCCAACACTCTCAAAAACTATCCAAACTTTGATCACAAGTGACCTTTAGCCCATGTTACTCATCAGCCGGTGCTCAAGTGTCAAGCTCATACAAGCACCTCTTGTCTCCTGAGAGCTAGAAAAAGAGCCCACAGCCTTGATGTTCCCCGTAGATAGATGGCTGTCTCATTTGATGGCTTGTCACTGTGTCAGCCTGAGGCTCCAGCTGGCTCATGATTGTCAGGGTAAAAGGACAGTCGTAGCCAGCAGCGACACTGATGCTGGCAGAGAGTCGTCAGCAACAACACACGCTGACTGCTCATAGCAGTGTAAATGCACACTAATGAAACCATTGACTCTCTTGTCTTTGTTCATACACCTAACCCATATGAAAATCCCAGCAGTCGTGGTGATGATGTGGTTTGTGATGCAGCTTCACAAGCAGCTATAAATGTGGTGTTATTCTTTCTCGTTTATCCTTCTTTCCTAATATCTCCTCCACCTTCTCTCTCCTTTTTTCCAGGAGACCATGACAGAGCCGTCTGTCTATGTTGAGGATGTGTCTAAACTGAAGGATGCTGACGAACTCAAACAAGCTTACATAGGCCTCAAAGACACCAACAGGTACTATGTTACAGCCATTACTCCTCCACGTCTCCATGTCTCTGACTCCTTTAACTTTTGTTTGTCCATTTTAATATCTTATCAAGCTCCAATATGATGTCTGTCTGATTGTTGCATGTGAACGTATGTGTGTTTGTGAACGCCTCTCTGTCCCGTGCAGATCTCCTAGGTTCATACGTAAGCCGCTGGAAGTCAATGATCTCCTGAGTAGGCTCAGGTAACGGATGAGACGTGGCCTATGCATCGTGGAGCAGAGCATGCATGGCCACGCTGTTGCTGAACAGGGTTAAAAAATGATACAAATGATCTGATACTACTGAAGCTGAAACAGCAGACTCACACTGCTGTGCTGATGAAAGCTTGGGTAGCTTTGCGTGGCATTTTCTGCCCTAACAGCATGATGAATATAATATAACAGCTCTAGCTACAGTTTAGCTCTTTATTATGCTCTAACAGAAGGTGTGTGTTTACTGGTACTCACTGCAGTCAAGGAACTTGTATTTGGCTTTTGAGTGAAGTTGCGGGGATTGTAGGCCTGCATGTGTTTTGATAGTTCAGCATTAACAAGAGTCGAGTGTCTTGCTGAAGGATCAGACTCAAAATAGTTTCCAGTTTACCTCTAAACAATGAAAATTTTGTGGTTTCAACAGCTCTGGTCTGTCTTTGGAGTTGTTGCAGAACTCCATATACAGGGCAGCAATAAGAAAATGTGTGGCATGAAAGCATGGACACGTCAGAGCTGAAAGGAATACGACTTTTATCAATCCGTAGATCCACAGAGTGACGTCCTCACACTCACTGTGCAGCAGGTTTAATGCTGTTGTAGGACCCCCTCTCTCAGCTTCATGGAATGAGTTTGGCATGAATACTGCATGAATTGACCCACTTGCTATACGTTACTATACGTCTTTAATCATGTTTTTATGTTCAGGGATGTGCAGCACACCTTTAAGGAAGTGTATGTTTATAGACCCTAAAACATTTTTGCTAGTACCCACCCTTGTTTTCCACAGGTTTTGTTCCATTTATTAAATCCACTTTCCTCTGCAGCCAGTAGTGCTCATCTCATTGGCCTTACCTACCGCATTAATTACACTTGGTGATGTAACTACAGTAGGTAATTAACAGCAAATGTGAACAATGTCTACGCAACTAAATTTTAAGATAATAAAACCATCATCTCTTTGCATTTTAACTCCCCAGAGTTTCCCAAAAAGTTTTGCTGTGCATCACTACATTTTTTCCTCCTTTCATTTTTCCCATGTTGCTCCTTTTGTTGCTTGTGACCTACTTTGTTCACACACCCACATCAGAGTTCAGTCAGCAGATCACAATGAATGCAGGAAAAAAGTCACTCACACAGTGACACTGGTATAAAATACAACTAATATACATGTTCAGTAGAAAATGCACAGTACACAGCAGGATGCACATACACAAGATACGAAACGAAACGTGAGTTGGTACCAGCATGATGAAATGGCCAAATAGTCACCAAAAGGTAGATAGAAGCATACACACATCAACCAGCCGACATCTCATATTTAAATAACCATATTCTTGTCCACGTCGTCTAGTCTGTCTCCCCCACCCCCCCCACCCACCCATCCCACATTTTATTTTGTTGTTGTGTTGTTCATGTTCCCTTGTGCTGTGTGTCGGTCAGATCCGCCGCTCCAGACTTCCATAAGCTGAATGAGGACGGAGAGCTGTGGCTGGTTAATCAGGGCTTAAAGGAGACCATCAGGTGTTATTGTGTTTCAAACACAAGTGTGATTTTTGAGCATGACACGTTTGCCTTTTCACAGGAAAGGATGTGTACTGCTGGTTTTCTTCATTCACATATTTTCTCTCTCACGCCTTCCCAACCTCAGAGTTTCCTCTCCCATCTACCTTCCTGTTTGTCCAGCTGTTTGCCAGTTTTGGACATTAGGACTGCTTGTTATTAGGTCTTAGTGACCTGGGAGCCTTATTGACTAATCAGAACATTTTACAGATTTAGAAGCTGGTTTTGCTGCCAAATTCACACACCCATTATTTTATACTTAGTCGCCATTAAGACGCTATTCTATGTTTTATGGATATGGCCTTTTACACAAGCCCTGCCAAGGTAGACAACGATGTTTTTGGCGCAAGACACTGGCATAGGACTTTACAATACAATAAAAAATGACATAGAATTTGGTCCATTCCATAATATATAGTGTGTAGTAATTTATACAGCGCTTTGCTTTGATTTTTCCTTTTTATTTATGAGACATTGCAGCAGAATTTGTCTTCATCCTGTTACTAACCTTGTTTTACTCACTTATAATGGCAACCTGTTTACAGCTTCATGTAACTCAATGTTCACTGCAGAGCTTGCTTCAAATAGTGTTTGCGATGTGTGATACTGGTATGTTGTATAGCTTTTTTGATGCTAGGAGTGGATTTACCAGCTGATCAGTTGTTTCATCACTAACAGCTTACACTGCTGCAGTGACAGAAACTCCTTTGTTCCTGATGTTTAAAACAAACCCTAAGAATTGTTCACAAGCACTGTTTGACTTGGATCTGATGACTCAAGTCTTCAGTGCTTCATCTTAAACTATCATCTCTGTTCACTCTTTTGACCGGCTACTGTATTGGCGAGATTCAACTTTAAAAGAGCGTGAAGCTTGATGACTCAGCAGAATAAAGAGAGTGTTCAGAGAGGCTGCGCTCAAGGCTGCACAGCATGCTGCTGTCCTGCACCACCACACTGTGGTGAAAACCTCCACTTTTATCATTCCCTCTCTCACTGTTTGCTGATTTTTTTTCTCTCCTCTTCTCTCATTTTTGTCTTTCTCTCCTGGTCTTTCTTCACTTCATTCTGCATACAAAAATATTCCTTCTCTCCCTCAAACCTTTCCCTCCCTGCACATCTACCTGTCCGCATCTTCTTCCTGTCTTCCCTCACATCCTCTCACCTGCCACACTCCTCTTCCTTCTCCCTCATCACTTCATCTCCTCTTTACCCCCATTCTTTGTTTTGTCTTTTACACACTGGTCCTTGCCCCTTCTTTCTTCTCCTTCCACCTCTGGTCTCCACGGCCCGCCCCCACCTTCAGGTTACTGGAGCACCAGCTTCAGACTCAGCGTAGAAGTTACGACAGTGAGGTGGAGGCGTTGCGCGGCGAGCTGCAGAATGTCAAGGAGGAGAACAATCGTCAGCAGCAGCTCTTGGCCCAAAACCTCCAACTACCTCCAGAGGCCCGAATCGAAGCCAGTCTGCAACACGAGATCACCCGGCTCACGAACGAGAACCTGGTACGCTGCGACACACACACACACGTATACACACAGACACATGCAAGCTAAAGAAGAGAAGTAACTTCTATGTCAGTTTAGTTAAAGTGCACATCACAAAGAGTCTGAGCCACACTTTACAAAACATAAACATCAGAGATACAACAGTGAGACCTCATGTACAAATACACAGACAGAGGCAGAATCCCAAACATACAGGTAAGACTGTTAATTTAACAATAACAGAATTGAAGTAACTAGTTACCAAAGTAGAAATCAGCTTAATTTATACTCAGCCAGTGAAACTTTTAAATCTAGATTTTAAAGCATTTCTCCAAATGAACATGAAGTTTTATACTCAAATAGTCAAATAAAGACTTTTCATATCTAATAACCTCAAGATTTCAAGTTATAATATACATGCTGCCCATAATAGACCGATCTGATGTAGCCAGCAATGAAAATAAATCAAAAGCTTTGTTCTAAACCTCCCACCGTGGCTACATGGAGTGGTTGGGATGGTACAATGTGCCTCCTTTTTGGTGTGTGGCTCATTTAAAGGTAGAAATTGGTTAATCTTCACCTTCACATATTATTTCCTCCCCATTACATCACAGACAGCAATACTTGGTGCATTGTCACACCTCATTATTGTTTGTGACGAGCAATTTAACAGAGTTAAAAGTCATCAACCAATAAAATAAGACGGATGCAGATGTTACTTAAGTGGCATTGCCAGTCAGGACAGTGACCCGAACACTTGATCGTCATTTCTCTAAAGACCTTGCGGACAATCTCCAGCTGTGCCGACATTGCAGGGTTAGTGTTTATCATCGTCTTCCACCAGACAGGATATTAGAAGAAAATACATTTTACAAAAATTATTGATTTCAGGTTCAAGGGAGGTGCTGTGTTGTTGTTGTGCTCTGCATCCAAAACATTTCTGCTAAAGAACGGTAACAAATCACTCTGGTGCCTTCGAACCAGAATCTGCTTCACACCAACAACAACACACACACAAACACACTCAAATGCTCTTTTCAAGCGATGAACACAGCCGAGGATTACTTGACTTCCACTACATCACTCCGAAGCACAGACAACACATTATTTCCCCAGTGTAGTGTATCTTGTCTCTAAAGCTGTTTGGGTTGGTGGTCTCATTCCCACTTGGGTTTCACATACAAAAGCAGCCACTTACAGCGCTGTGTCACGCACACACACTCATCTGTGTGGATGGTGTCACCTGACAGGAACTCATGGCCGAGGACCCCACAGCATCCAGAGAAGCTCGAGTCATCATTTTACGACGGATGGTTGTATGTAGAGACAGCGCGTGTTTGCCTACGCGCAAGTGTGTGTGTGTGTGTGTGTGTGTGTTTGCATGTGTGTTAGCACTAACTGAGGTTGTGTGTTTTGAATGAAATGGCAGTAAGCGTTGCTCTAACTCTGCAGCAGTGTCTTCTAACTCACAGCGGAGCAGCTCTGCACCCTTTTTTCTTTCCTAACAGCCAATGAGTCCTGCAACTTCTCTTCTTCTGACAAAACAATCAGCCCAGCAGCTTTAATGTTGATTTCAGCCCCCCATCCCCACCCTCCTCTTTGTGTGTTTGCTCTTTTTCCACAATTCATATTTTCCAAGACAGAGCTAAATGAACTTTGGACAAGTTTCAGTTCTTCTCTCAGAATTTAGAAATTATTATTGTATATTTTTTGACTACATATATATGTTTTTCATTGACATAGGTGTTTATCCACACTTATATTTAAACGCCACATTTTTGATGGCAGGAGCATACATCATTTCTTCTGGCCTTTTAGCTGCAGATTCACAGAAGTGCTGAAGTTTTCATTTTTACCACTGGAGGGAGACAGTGTGAAGCAGTCAGAGTCAGAGGAGGCTTATCTTCTTTTCACTATTCTCTCACTCTCTTTTCTTTTTCTTTTTGTCTTGCCCTCTCTCCATCACTTTATCCTGTCATCTGTTTCAGGATCTCATGGAGCAGCTGGAGAAGCAGGACCGAACCATCCGCAAGCTCAAGAAGCAGCTGAAGGTTTACTCCAAGAGGATTGGGGAGATGGGAGGTACGGGGCAAATCATCATTCAGCAAAGTCTTGTTAAGAAATGTGTTGAGAAAACAGAGCAGACTTGACTTTGTTGTCACGTTGTCCTGTGTGTGTGTGTGTGTGTGTGTGTGTGTGTGTGTGTGTGTGTGTGTGTGTGTGTGTGTCCTAGCGGGTCAAACCGAGGGCCAGACGTCTCCAGGACAGATGGTGGACGAGCCGATCCACCCCGTCAACATTCCCCGCAGGGAGAAAGACTTCCAGGGAATGCTGGAGTACAAGAAGGAGGATGAGCTTAAACTGGTCAAGAACCTCATCCTGGGTAAGAAAAAGAGGTTCTCCAATGAGCCCTCTAGTGTCTCTCTGTGGTTCCACAGTAACAACTGTAACACTGAAACTGTTGTGGGTTTTGGAGTTAAATATATCATCTATTGTGCCTTTGTTTCACGTAGACCTTTCTCAAAAGGGAGGAAAATACTCCATGAAATCATTTTGAGAGCTAAGAACAATGCAGGGCAGTGTTAGAAATTGAAGGTTTGATTTGTGGGTTTATCCAGTCTGAAATCTAAAAAACATCTGTACCATGTGAGTTTCATCCTTGTTGCCTTGGTCCACGACTAAACTCGTTTCTCCTCTGTCTCTCCAGAACTGAAGCCTCGCGGTGTAGCCGTGAATCTGATCCCAGGCCTGCCAGCCTACATCCTATTCATGTGTCTGAGACATGCCGACTATGTCAACGATGACCAGAAGGTCCGCACTCTGCTCACCTCAACCATCAACAGTATTAAGAAGATACTAAAGGTATGTGTGTGTGGCAGTGCTCCTCATATAAAACACGAGCTGATGGATGATGTAAATCCCAACAAGTGAGGATGGAGTTTTGGGCGACATTTGTAGTTTGGGTTTGAATATTCATGCTCATTGGTCAGTACATGCCCTCAAATGTGCTTGGTGCTGAGTAAATGTGTTTGCACTCAGCTTCTGGGTGCCATTGTTAATAATATTTGTGTTGTGGTTAAAGGGGTTAGTTCATCCGTGGTCAGATCCCACCAGTAATAAGAGAAAATATGTTTCTCATCTTTTGGGTGAAACAATCCTTAAAATGGTTGTTTTCAGGAAGTTGCAGGTGGAGAGGGTCTGGTGGAGTTACAGTATGACGGGTACCAGCGGGTTCACTGACTACATTGTGTCTTTCTTCCTCAGAAACGAGGAGATGACTTTGAAACAGTGTCTTTCTGGTTGGCCAACACCTGCCGCTTCTTGCACTGTCTGAAACAGTACAGCGGAGATGAGGTGAGACTGACTGGAGGTTGTTTTTTTTTAAAATTATTTTATCATTAACTTACTGTTGTTTTGATTCTTTATTGTGTTTTCATCATTTGTAAGTAGAAAAAAATACATTTATATAAATGCAGAATATTAAAGATATTTAGTAAATTATTTTTATCATTAACAATGATAAAAAAAATCCCACCCTGCTTAAAGGCATTCTTTTTTTAAGTCTATCTGCTGGTGTCTGTGTGTCACAGGCTTTCATGAAGCACAACACATCGAGGCAAAACGAACACTCTCTGTCCAACTTCGACCTGGCAGAGTACAGACAGGTGATCAGTGACCTGGCCATCCAGATCTATCAGCAGCTGATCAAATGCATGGAGAACATCCTCCAGCCCATGATAGGTATGTGAATGTACATGTCTGAGTGCGCATACGATTTAATGCTACTGTAGTTTTGACAATAATGATAATAAGTGCTGCTCTTTTTTATTTTCTTACATGCATGATGCAAATACTATTTGTGTGTGTGTTCTCCACAGTCTCTGGCATGCTGGAACACGAGACCATCCAGGGCGTTTCTGGGGTGAAGCCCACAGGTCTCCGTAAGCGCACGTCCAGTATCGCTGACGAGGGAACCTACACCCTGGACTCCATCCTGCGGCAGCTCAGCGCCTTCCACTCCACCATGTGTCAGCACGGCACCGACCCCGAGCTCATCAAGCAGGTGGTGAAGCAGCAGTTCTACATCATCGGAGCTGTCACCCTCAACAACCTGCTGCTGCGCAAGGACATGTGCTCCTGGAGCAAAGGCATGCAGATCAGGTAGGAGCTGCTGCTGCTGCTGCTGTTCAGAGAGGAGCCACGCCAGAGTGGGGCTGATTTATATGATGACATTTTTTTTAACTGAATGTTGTTTCTGTTGTAGCCACTTTACTGATCGTGTGTATGTGTGTGTAGGTACAATGTGAGCCAGCTGGAGGAGTGGCTCAGAGACAAAGGTCTCATGACATGCGGAGCCAAGGAGACCCTGGAGCCTCTGATCCAGGCCGCTCAGCTGCTGCAGGTGAAGAAGAAGACTGACGAGGACGCTGAGGCCATCTGCTCCATGTGCCAGGCCCTCACCACTGCTCAGGTAAAACACCCTGACTCTTATTAGACCACATTCAAATAATCCCGACTGTAATAAGTCTGAAGTCACGTTTGAAAGATTAAGGTAGAGACCGCATGATTTCACAAACCTGAGGAGAACTCCAGGTATTTGTTGGTAACTGTAGATAAAATGTTTCTTTTAGTAACCTTTTAGTTTTTCTTCTCTTTCAGATTGTGAAGGTCCTGAACCTCTACACACCAGTCAACGAGTTTGAGGAGAGAGTGTCAGTTGCATTCATACGAACCATACAGGTAATCTCCTCCAGATGTATCAATACAGCACTGGACAGACTATTAAACATAATTAAGGACATGAATGCCCCAGGAAACACCATTTTACAAATTGAATCTAGTTATGTTAATTTGAATTTGATAGTGAGTAACTCCAACCCTCAGTTAATAAACTGGCAGAATTTCAAAAGACTTTACTGATTTATTTGCATGTTTTGACCCACCTGCTACAAAATGGACCTTCTCTACACAAACCCTTTTCCTAAACAGAGCTTAGTGTTTTATATTTTTTAATGCTTTCTCCAAGCAGACATTTACAAGGTTACATTTCATTTAAATCATTTGCAGCTGCATTATCATGCAGTGGGGATGTAACTTGTATAACTGTGTTTTTAAAATCAAAATCAAACATTTTTAGGTTTTCCAATATTTAAATTGGGCCTTTTTTTCTGCAAATCAAGTTTGACTGCATATTAACTATTTCTGTCTCATGTGCTCTCTTCTTTTACCCTTCAGACTCGCTTGCGAGACCGTTGTGAGAGTCCCCAGTTGTTGATGGACACAAAGATGATATATCCAGTCACCTTCCCGTTCAACCCCTCCTCCCTCGCCCTGGAAACCATCCAGATCCCCGGCTCGCTCAACCTGGGGTTCCTCACCCGTGTCTAACCCAAGGCCCTACAGCGCTTTTGGCTTAGTGGTCATTGTTGGAATTGCAAGTCACATGACACCCACTGGCCCCAAAAAGCCCCATACACAGCCATCACAAGAGAAATAAATACATTTTTGTGAGCATCACAAACACTTAAAATTAGGGTTTGTATTCACACAATTTGAGCAATTATGTCCAAAATATTTATTGAAAAGTCTCCTGTTGGTATCCAGTCCTCTGAATTATCCCTGGTGTAAATCTGGACACACACCCCACCACATGCTGAACTTTCATCATGCATCTGTACAGTACTTACATCCTCTGAACGTACACATGCACGCCTACACTTAGGTGCACCCTCTCCGACAAAAACGCACGGAACCCCCAGTCGCTGCCGCTGGTTTAAATCTGGCTGTAAAACACTTTAATCCATCCACTGCTTGTATAAACGCCTGCCTCTTAGAGAAGCCACAGGACCAGATCAGTGCATCCAGTGATCGCTCTCCATCGAAACCTGGGTCTGACTTAGTGATCTCGGCCCTGATTAGCCCAGCTCCCTCCCCTGTGTTTCAACTAGTGGTTATGATAGTCGTTCTTGTCATCGTCTTGTTCTCTGGTGAGAATATACGCACCCATAGGCGAGAGCAGGCCCCAAAGGAGGTGCTGAGACAAGGAATAAGTTGGTAACTTGTAGTCTAGCTTGATACGTTGGGTTTGTACTACAAAGTGAATTCTGAGTCTTAGTACAAAGCCAGTTGAGTGCTAATGTTGCTCTCTCCACCCAATGTTAACGAACCAGGCTTTGTTCTGTATACTGTCATTTTACACTTAAACAGTCAAGCCAAGACAGAACTCATCATCTGTACTATATTATTTATACATATATAAATATATATAAATATGAATAATATATATCATGTATTTTATTTATTGCATTAACCTCCGTCCCCACCCTCCCTTTTTAAGATTAGAAGCTTCCTCCTTGAAGAAAGAAAATGCGTCCGATATGAAGGATGGGACCATCGTTCCCCAAGATGAACAGCTTTGTAAAGACCGTTTTAGTTCCGTTGTGGGCTGTTTATGTCAATACCAGGTAAATTATGTAGGATAGTTTAAGGAGTGCCAGCACAGATGATTATTCGTTAGGTCACTTAACTTAGAGATGTTGCTTTGTTGTAATCGTAAACCTGCATTTCTGGAAGAAGAAATGTTGCACGGGTTTTAACTGAGGAGAGATTTCGAAGGTACGAGGGTAAAACTCTGCTGAGGGTTTAACCTGCTACAATCTTTACTGTTTACAGCTGTGATTAGAGCCGAGCGTCACAAGGACACACGGGCTACAAAGATATACACTACAATACAACACACATATTACACTCTGCTTCCTGCTGTGTCACCGGGGGGGGTTTTCACTCTGAACACTTCCTCCTCTCCTCTTGTCTTCTCTGATCACAGCTCTAGTCAGAGCTTTGAAAATGTTTTACTGTCATCGTTGTGTTATTATTTATTTCAGTATTGTGATTTTCTTAAGATTATGTGTATCGTAAAGCCATGTATCACTGGGCAGAATGGAGAGAAACGGTTTCACTGAAGGTGGTTTCGGAGAGTTTGCCACAGATCTGTCCAGCTTTGCATTAATTTCTCTGCTGTACCCTCAAACTAAAACTGACTGCAGACATGTGGACCGATTCCTCTCTCGTCTCCTGCCTGTCCACCCCTATGCCTTCCTGCTTAGTGATCTTCTATAACCAAAAATACTGACATAGTGAGAGATTTTTTTCTCTTTGCTGCACAGATTGTTTTGGTTCAGATATCTAGACATATTTGCTACATGCTTTTCTAAGGCTGAGGCTATCGCACCACATCAGTCAGTATGGCTACAGTGTGGTGTACAGCATGCACTGCTGCTGCTGCCCCCGTCGAACCTGCATGGGCTTAACTTTACCAGCTACTAGAAATTAACCCGCATGCCACTGCTTTTTGTTTTGTTTTGGGGTTTTTTTTACAGTAAAGAAACCGTGGTGTAGCTGAGTCATTGGATGAGTGTCAGGGAATCTGCTCATGTTTTTAGAAAAAGTCCTTTGTCTTCAGTAAAAATTGTCCTGGCTGCCTCGTGTTTATCACTTTTAGTTTACTTACTTTTTTTTGCCCTTAACGTTCGTAGTCAACCAAATTTGCCTCTTGCCCTCATGTGAACCTTATTTTGCCTGAAGACCTTATCCCCTAATGATAAAATGATTTTCTTTTAAGGTGCTTACATACATAGGAGATTGTTAAAGGTCACCAAAACAGAACTCAGTATCTTTTTCTTAATTTATTTTTTGAAAGCTTATTCTTAAATAGAAATGAGCCTTCAGAAGCAACAAACCAAGTAAAGATGCAAAGTATTTGCAGTATTGAGAGCCAGGGAAATCTCAGCGACACAGTACATGCTGAGAAATAAAGATGTTTTATCTGAAGTGACATATCTCAGTAAATGACCACAAACAAGCCACAGATGAAAACTAACTGTAAGTGGAATAAAGAGGGTTTAGTATGTGAAGTTGTTTTGTGTTGCACTTGTCTTTGAAAATAATTTGATATCCATATGTTGGGACCATTTTAATCAATCTGCCTTTTGTTATATTTTGTTTGGATTTCTTGGTAGTTTAACGTATGGTCTGTGTAAAGAGTACATATCTGAAGAGAGAGACGGTAATTGAAGGAATGAATTAACCATATGAATGTTAAATAATGTTAAATGAAGTGTATCATGATTTTAGCTGCACATTGTGGACAAAGCCTTATCTGAATTATTTGCTATCTGAATGACTTACACACATTATCAACATTGTGGCATTGTTTTTTTCTGTCAGTGCAGTATTTTTTTTTCCACTGTAAGATGAATTTAAACTGTTAGATGTGAGCATTTTTATTTGATGAGGTGTCCTGTTGTCCTACAGTTGGTGTCACAGATGGGTTGCTATCAAAATGCACTTTCTAATCACTGCAGAGGAAGTCGGATAAATAACAGATGGATATGGACTGTAAAAAGAAATACTTCACACTTACGAGCCTCTTTTTGTTTTTCTTTTGATTTCCATCTTCTTACACAACTCTGGCCCCTGAAGCTTCTTCTATCACATTCCCCGTATAATTGGATGCTTCCTATTCTTGATTAGAGAGCTTTTTTTCTTGCTGTTTTATTAAAATTATCGATGAGTCCAAACCACAGGTAAGAAGACGCACTCTTGTAAGTTTCGTGGCTGCAGCACCAGCCTTCACAGACTCAGACTATCCCTGTGGATTGACGTATTGAGAGCGTAGAATGGGAAGGCTGGCCTAGTTTCAGAGGAGAAAAAAAACACACGTTCATTCATCGGTTTGTATTGTTGAGCAGAGCTGCAGCGTCTTGCTCCCCTGGGCTTCTCTTGGCCTCTCAGACAGGAGAAAATGTCATTTCCTTCACTCTGCATTTTTACATCAAGGAGAGAGTTGGTTGTATGATATGACGTAGACATTATAAATTACCATTGTTCTTATCAGCACTAGCGTTGATTGTGCCATTTTAAAAAAATTTAAATTGTGAAAAACAGAAATATATCATCACCCCAGCTGTTGTGGTACTGGTATGAACATGCTGAAGCCAGCACTGAAATGTTTCCTCTCTAAACCCATGTGTACATTTGACAAACTGGACTGTTTGTAGTTTCTGGTAGCTGTGCTTAGTGAATGTGTTCACCGTTAAGAAATTAAGAAACTTGGAATAAATTGTCAAATCTGTAAAAGTAAATAAAAGAATTCAGCACTGTCAGATTGTCTGTGCAAGATTTTTTTTTCCTCATCCCTTTTTTTAGGAAATGTGATAATTACAGTTACGTAAAAAATAATCTATTTTTAGCAGAAAACTAATTTAATATTAACATTAAATAAACTGAATCTGCAGTGTTGAGAGATTTTTTAGTTCATATGACAACAAGGGGCCAATGTACTGAATGAATATTACACTATTGTGAGTTGAAGGTAATCTAAAGGATTTTTATATTTTAAGTCAATAATGAGCAGATTACTATGCTGTAAATGTAACTGTCCACGCCTTGCAGGTATACATGCAGCAGGTGCAGATGTATGAAGCATGGAGGTAGAAGCAGAGCAGAGTCGCAGCTTAAACACTTCACTAAGAAGCTTACTGTTCCCTCTCTGTCCCTCGCTGACAATCCTCTTCACTGGAAAAACTCAACTTAGTTCTCCAGGGATAAATACCTGCTCAACCGAGGGAAAAAAAGTTCTCTTGTGAGGTAAGATTTAATATTCAGCTTTTATTAGCCTTCATTGTTTCGCTGTGATATTCCTGCAGTTTGTGGAAATATGACTCAGTATGCCAGTGTTGGTGTTTTTTCGTTCACATATGGGTTTAAGTCACAGAGTAGGATGTGTAAATGTAACTAGAGTTTACGGCATATACCTGTTTAGTTACAAACGTGTATTTGATAGTGCTGAATCTTTTTCAGTTTTTCTTAAGGCCCAAAGCATGTTCTGAAAATTTTACAAAAAACCTAATAATTATCTGAACAAAGTTTACACATGATCATAAATTCTGGACCATCTTTTAACTTGTGAGGAATTCAAATGGAAAAAGAAACACTCACTTATGAGTGCATGTGTGACCTTAGTAGCAGTAGTAAATTCTCAGCTTGAAGTCAGTGTAATCACAATATCATATGATCCCGTTCCATATTCTACACACTATATAATATCAGTATCGATAAAGGGATATCAAATGTAGCTATAATGGACGTCAGTCTGTCTGTCTATTGGATTTTGTAAGATATATTGATTATAATTACAAATGACAAGTTACAGCTTCAAATAGAATAGAAGTGCAGCACGTGCAGCAGTGATAAAATGTAGATTTGTGTGGTAAATGTCGAGTGTTTAGTGTTTATCATGTGTGCAGTTCCCAGAATAGCTGTGCTGCACTTCTTTCCTCTGGAGCTCAGAGAAGGATCAGGCTGGAGTAGATTACCAACTACTTATCTCCAAGGCCACACACACACACACACACACACACACACACATACACACACACACACAGGCCAAGTGGTCACAACCCAGCACAGAAATCAAAAGAGCCTCAAGACAAAGATTTCTCCAACCTGTTGTGTAGCTGAGGAAATTTATATTCATGTTCGTGTCTCTGTGATTTCCACAGGTGTGTTCCTGATCATCTGCAGCCATGTGTGACCAGACGTTTGTGGCGGTCACTTTTGGCCCCTGCGAGAGCTGTGCGAACGCCCGTCCTCTAATGAACATCTACATTAAGAATGAGCCCATCAACTACTGCTCCTTCTGTGTGGAAGTGGTGCGTGATGTTTTCCTTTCAGTTTATCATCAACAAACAGCTGAACAAATCATTTCATTGCACCCAGTGGCAATGTTTGCAGTATCTGAAAGCTTTTCTGTGTAATGAGAAACTGTAGTGTCGATCTAACAGGGATTAGCACAGACTGTCCACTCTAATGCCGGCTGATGATGGGTACCTTGATTTGATGAGGATCACATTAACACTTTGTACAACATCTGTTAAACTGTGGACATGCCACACAGCAGCATATAACTGTATTAACGTATCTTATAACCTACACACAGACACACACATATACACACGCACACACACACGTCATGTGGACCTAAAAGTGGGAGATGCATGCTAGTGAGACCCCTCCTAATCTGTGGCTCCTTGTCAACAACTCAGCAGACACTGATCCCACAGAGCAGAGTGTCCACTGTGACTGTCCCCAGTCAGACTTTATCAGATAACAAAATGGTATATGACTGAGAAAAAAGTTTCAGTTACATGATATTAATATGAATAGTAGATTCAAAATGTTTAGATCTAATGTAATGGATATATTTATCAATACTCTTCAAGTCTGAAACCATTTTCACAAGAAGAAATAGTAATTGTGTTTAAAAGTCTTCATCAGCTAGAGCATATGAATCTGAAATTTGGTGCTACAGAAAATTCTTTTATCCTCTGCCATGTTGCTGCTTTGATGTGATTTAATATTGGAAACTGAGCCAGTCAACTTGAAATATAATGCTTAAGTGTGTTAGGGAAAAGGGGATAAGGGGTTAATGCCAAATAATATGTCTAATATTTAAATTAATTATTAAATAAGCTAGTAATTAGTTCCAAACCACAGCTTGCAAATATATAGGCTACTGTAATTTTTTTAAAAGGCTAAATAATTTCCTAAAACAGCTGGGTAGTGTAATTTTTAGCAGAAGTCAAACAGGAGCAAATAGTGCATTTGAGGATTATATTTTCAGACAAAGATAAGTTTAATACACATTTGTAGCTCTAGTGAGTGCAGTCACCTTTATGCTGTATGTGGTAAGGAACGTGCCATCCAGTGCAATAGTGTAGCTGATGTTATTTTTTAACATCATTAATGATTTTTGGATAATGGACCTCTATAGCAAAGAGGATAAATTAGGCTTTGGCTACACACAGACAGAACTTATTAGCAGATCAATTCATTGTTGGGTTTGGCCTTTTATGTGGGATTTAATGACAACAAGAAGAATATGGAATATCACCAGACCAGCTAAATGAAAACAATGGGTAAAAGTACATATAAATATATATGTATTATACAGTATATGTATATATATATAGGTATATTTAAAAGTAGAATAGTTTGAAGTCAACCACAGTAACTGGAAAGTAGAAACTGGCAGTAGCTGTGTTTGCAAAGTGCGTCTGTGGCGCCTGTGAGCAGTGTGTGAATAACAGAGGGAGGAGGGGCAGAGCAAAGCTCAGTGTCACTCGCGCGGCAGCATCACCGTTGCACTCGAGGACAATCTCAACAAACCTCTAACCGCCAAACAACCGTCCCGTTCCCCCAAATTTACCTCCTTTCTCCTGTGTTTTCCGCTCCCCTCTCCCCGCTCTCCTCTGCTGTTGTTTGTGTGTATCCTCCTCTAAGATGGCCTGTCAGGGGCTCCAGAAAGGGGAAACCCTGGCGACACTGAAGAGGGAGAGCGAGAGTCTGAAGAAGAAGCTGGAGGAGGAGCGGTGCAAGCTCAGCGACGTGGAGTGTAAGTGTCTACACAACAGGAAAACATAACTAGGCTAACTAACTATTGATCTGTCATCCTTTTTACTGAAACACTTACAGTTTGACAGGTGCGTGAACAGCTCGTGAACACGTCGTTTATGCTATGGATTTGATTTTGTTTGTTTGTTTGTTCGTTTGTTTTCACTATGTGATGATGACTGTGAACAGCTGTTCACATAGTGGTGGTCATTGTGGGGGAAAGTTTTAATCAAGTAGTCATCTGTCTTTGTGGTGTGCGTTTAGTGATGATGATGATGATGATGATGAGATTGTAAATAGCTCTCAGAGTCGCCCTCACTGCTAGAACTCAGATGTCCTCATAATCCTTATAAAACCGATTTGATTTAACACTGACCTTCAGTTTGAATACAATAAGTCATGATTTGGGCTTCTTGGGTTCAGTGTGATATGCTCTGCTCTCTGGTGGTTGATACACGTCCTTTTTCAGAGACTGAAATAAAGGCAGCTCAGTTTATGATTTAATGCTACAGTGCTGTAGGCTTTAACTTTATCCATCAAATATCCCACATATTTGCAGATGTGATCTACTAATTTATTCAATAACCCTCCCTGCCACCTGTTGTGGAAAATAACCCAGTAAACTGTTCATTAATTGTGTCTCTTTGTGGTCGTTTTACATGAGTTTGCAGTAATTTTGCGTCTCTGTTGTCATATTGTGTCTCTTTGTAGCTGTTGGATTTACGTTCCAACAAGAAATATTAACAGCAAAGACAGGCTCTTGTCCAGCAGCCTCCTGAGACTTTGGGCCCCTGGGCCTGTGCACATAGGCCCACTCAGTAGTCCTTCCATGTTTATACTTCTCCTCCACTACATCTCATAGGGAAATATTGTACTTTTTACTAAACAGCTATAGTTACTATTAATATTGCAGATAAAGATTTTACATTCCAAACATAGAGTATGATTAGCTTACAAGATGTGATCCATTCTTATAGATGAGACCACAAAGTACTATAAAGTTAAATTAGACCCACCTCATTCATTAACAACATTAAATCCATTTTAATGCATCTGACATGATAATCCACTAATATAATATACGGTAAATATTCAACAATGATGCCTTATGTAAATTTTGCATTTTACTGAATTGAAATTTTGGTCTTACAATTTTGTGTGTGTGTGTGCGTGTGTGTGTGTGTTTGTGTTTGTGTGTGTGTGTGGGGGGGTACCTCAGTACACCAGGTAGCTGAGAAGATTGAGGTGTTGGGTGCTCTCTCCATAAAGACCAGACGTGTGCTGAAGGGTCATGGGAACAAGGTTCTTTGTATGGACTGGTGCAAAGACAAACGTCGTATCGTCAGCTCCTCGCAGGTACACACATGCATATACACACATACAGAGGTGTATATTATTTTATACTATATTAGGAGAGATATTGTGAATTATTAGTAGTTTTAATATGTATTCATATTTATGTATGACAAGAATGGGATATATAAAGTTTTTATGTAATACTGATTTTCTTTCTCTAATCTAGGATGGAAAAGTGATTGTCTGGGATGCATTCACTCTTAATAAGGTAAGTAGAGTCTGTGAGTAAATTAGGGGGGCAATTACATAATGTTTTAGATTCTTTTGAAGAAAATAATTACTTTTGGATGCAATCATTCAAAAGTTTTCTTTTAATGTTAACTTCAATATTCAGGTCAGAAACA